AGAAGTACAAATGACAGACTCAATAATTCCTCTGTAAAACTGTATCAACAGCTTCTGGGGCAGTCTGAAATTCATGAGTTGATGCAGGAAGACCATTCTTTGTCGTACCTTTTTAATGATGGTTCCAATGTTAGGTGTCCATTTCAAGTCCTAGGAGATTATAGAACCCCAAAATTTGAAGGACTCTACTGTTGATACTACACTGGCGAATATGGTAAGAGGTGGTAAAATAAAAGGTCTCCTCATAAAATCCACTCTCATCTCTATAGTTTTAAATGTAATGGCATGTTAATAAATGTTAATCGATTGCAAAAACCTATGGGGGTATCAAGCAGAATAAAATAAGAATACAGAAAAATTATGAACTACTCATTCCTACCAGTGCATGCTAACTTCTTCATTTATCAGCCAGAAGAATCAAATCCAGGGAGCCTCCACTGGCTCTTGCACAACATCTGCCCAACAATTTTAATATCGTTGCCCAAGGGAAAGCCAAATGGGTCACTGAACACACTGACATAGGAAGATATATAAAAGACACTACAAAGAAGGGGCCAGGCTTTGAAATACCATGTCAGCAATGGACAATTCTGAATAGGATTCACATCTCACACGGCATCTGCCGGGACTCTCTGTATAATTGGGGCACTGTATCCTCCCTCCAGTGTGACTGCGGGGTCCCACGTCAAACTGTAGATCACATTGTGACTGGCTGTAAGCTGAGAGCATATATTAGTCCAGTATTTGATTTTTTAAAATATAAACAGTGTTGCTCTTCAATGATGAGATGGCCTAGACATTGGTATTTGAATATAGATATTTTTAACATTTATATTTTACTGTGTTTTACTAATGTAGGTGAAATATTAACATTGCTAATCCATGTATGATATGCCATACGCTACATACATAAAGAATATTGAGAATAAAAAATTATGAAGATCAGGAGCTGATGATTGGTGATTGATGACTGCATTTAACACTTCTGGAAAGGATAAGAGTTGCAAGTCCCATGGAAAGTTTGGGAAATTTTTATTTTAAAATTGTAAGATCTGGTGGCTTTCATAGTAGTTTTTATGTTTTTTCTCAGAATTGAGGAAAATATGCTGCTATTTTTAGCAATATGGTTGGAAAGGGATGTAGGAACTTAGGGGTTGCATGTGGTCATAGGGACTTAGAATATCCACTCCTTAGAGTGGTGGCCATAAGGACAATAGTGTCAAACATGACTAAAGAAGGAGCTTACCTCTTTAAATTTCTTATAAATGCAGAAGTATATTGAGAAACGCTGACAGACAGGAGAAATAGGAAGATGAAGTAATAGCTTTTGTGATATTTACCTTTGCAAGAATCATCTGCTACATTACGAAATATAAGCCAAGCCTAATTCACTAGAGTGTAGTGTTTGTGCATCATTTCTAAGTAAACGTGTGATGAACTGCATGTTGTAAATTACTAAAATTCATCTAAGAAGTACTTTATGAGTGAGATGTTTCCATATTTTTAAACATAAGAGCATTCCCACTGATAAAACTCAAATATGCTGCTTGTGTGGCTATATGCAAGAAGAACACACATGAACTTAGAACATTTAATTCCAGAACAAAAGATGCTTCTTGCTATTTTGGCTACTGCAGAGGGAATGATGACTCTTCTTTAATCTTGCTATAAAGATTAGAAGCCAACTGTGAAAACATAATACACACATCCTTCCCCTCTCAAAAGCAGATCCCTATTCCCTTTTAGCTGCAGCAAAGAGAAACTTCAGTATCAGAATTAATCACACAAATGTGAAATAATATTTCTGTGGAAACAAAATTTGGCAACCATGTTCAGTCTAGTTTCTGCTTTTGCCAGACTGCTTTTAAGTTTAATAGCAACAATCCTTAACTGATGATGAACTGCATGTGGCCCTTAACATTCCTTTGTAATCACTCAATACTTCACACTACCAAAATCTGGCAAAAAGAACTAACTTTTTTCCACAGCATAATTCTTTTTCCCTTAGTATAATATTGAAAAGGTTAGCAGGAGGTACCCTGGAAGACTATTCGATATTGCTAACAGATACCATGACAAAAATTAAATATTTTATCTGATAAATTTGACATGTTCTGCTCTTTTCCTGGCACTGCTATATTCAGGATTGTGTTTCTCTCCCAACTGACTCCAAATTTTAAAAATTCCTTCATTTCATTTGTTTTTAACTTACTTTATTTGCAATAAGAACATCTATTGTAACTCTATCCTTTTAACAGATGGCCAGTATTATAACAGTATATCCCCACAAAAGAACAATACATTCCTGTTATTTCTATCATATGCCACATGTTTTGGTTTAATACACATCGATTTAAATATTTCCATTTGAAAGTTTTCCTCATGTTCTACTCCAAAAGTTACATATTTAAAAAAAATCAGCAACACATACAACAATCAGTAATTATATTATTCTCATAAAAATCATAATTAAGAGAGTAGATAAGAGATATATCTTTCTTCTTTCCAAGCAGAATGTTGTTATCTCAATTAACTTGTTACTAATTCTCCAGATTTAGCTAGTAGGTTGCTCAATGTTATTTTTCTGTCAGATGCAAAATGACTTTACAGTATTCGTACTACTTTGTTTCTTTTGCTAGCCAATATTTTCAACAATGATCTCATGATCTAAGCTTAATTAATTAAAGAAACAAACAAACTCCTGGTCTTTACAGCTGCTACCTCTCCTCTTATAGTTAACTTGAACATCCTGAATAGCTTTACTGGGCTTTGGATAGTCTTGAACAATACAAAATGGACTAGAGGGATTCCTGGTCTATGGCCAGGCAAAGGGAGAATGACCTTAACACAAAGAGCTATAGATAAGACCCAATGGTAAAGTGATTTCAGGATTCAAGATTTCAGTCAAAAGTATGTCAAGTATCGGAAAATCTCCAAAATTCTATTAATTTTGCTATGTATTCTGTGTGTGCCAGAAGCCAAAAGCATACAGAAAGTTCCACATTATAAATTCGCACTTAATCACATTCTCTGAAAGAATGTATGTACTTTTCATCCATCTCCTGCTTATTTATACTTGATCATATATGAGTTACTGCAACTAAAAATGACCCAACACCAATATCTTATGTGTTTGCAATTATCTTTTTCAGAAATGCTGAAAACTAGCCATGCAAATAAAATGTTTGATAGTTAGCTAATATATTTAATCACTGAACTACAACTGGATATTCTAGAAAGTGAAGTTAAATTGGCTCTACAAAATATTGCTAATCAAATGCTGCAAGAATTGGCGAAATATCAGCAGAACTCTAAAATCTGATAACAAAATGCAGAAAAGAGTTTTGTAAACAAGTATAAAAAAACAACTGTGACCAAGGGAGTGAAAAATATCCATTATATTTGAGTGCCACAAAAAGATAATGTTAAGGAATGTTCTAAGATAATGCCCAATATTTTGCAACACAAATTTTAATAACACATGGAATAAGAATTTCCAGGGGTACAAATAGATTCAGAAGAAGTGATGGCACCCAAGATCATTTGATTAATAGCTAATGGGAAATGGGAAAAACATTTGGGAAAACGGGTTTTCCCAAAACATATCTATTTTTCTTTTACTGATTATACAATGGCTATTGATAGGGTGGTCTGAAACATACTATGGATATTCCTTAAAAACCTGGTATATCAGAAACCTCATTTACCTATTGAAAATTACTATTACCAGGAACTCTTCATCGGAATGCAATATAAAGCAACTAAATGGTTCAAAATGGAGAAAAGAATATACCAATGTTGTGTATTTATATCTCATTTATTCACCTTATGTACACAATGTAAGTGGCAACAGATGTTATCTTTCTAGAATCAAAAAAATGACAGAAATAGGAAGGTGTTAATATATCTAGATAAAGTTTACAGGATATATGACAATTATGTAGGGGACACAGTCTTCTAAATTTTGAAGAAATTAGTACACTGATTTCAATTAACCTTTTAGAATAGCAGTCACTTGCTCACACCATTTCTTCCAATAATCCAGTGATTTTTGTAACTACAATTTGAATGAAATCTTTCCTTGACTCAATCTTTTGTTTGATATTCCCTATTTCATTGACATATACCTGTGATACGAATACCACAAGAATACCTGCAGTATGGTTACAACAGAAGATATTGAGAAACTAAAAATATAAACTGCTTATTCACAAGATTGCTGCAACATATTAGGGATGTGCAAAATATTCAATTTTTCTTTCAGATCACAAGCTACTTCTATCAATTTATATATCTAGGAAAAAATTAACCCAATTAAAATCAAAGCAAAAATTAAAAAAAACAAAACAAAAGTAAAACAATTGATTGCAATAATTAACTATTTAAAGCTTGGAAAGACAGATGTATTTTTACTATCTTCTTAAACAGCAAGATACTAGAAGCCAGAAACATCTTGAAAACACATTTCACTTCCAGACAATTGCAGGACTATTTCCAGAGCAGCTGAACCAGCACTGACTGGAGGAAGAATGGAATGTTTCAGAATTCCTTGGAACATTCTGTCTCCAAAATATAATATTTAACATACTGCACACCCAAAGACATAAAAAGAGACATTGGGCAATAATACAGTGTTCAACTGCAGTGGTAGCAAAATCATTGCTTACCATCATGTTGACACTTAACATGATTTGGAATGATTGACTGTAAAAGACACACTCAGGAAAGACCTGTCAAACTCCTAATCTAAAACCCCTGCTTCTATAACATGATATAATATGTTCATTTATTAGAATGTTTATTCAACAAAATGGTCAGGATTTATACAAAATGATAAGAATGTAATCAACTGCTATCTGTTCTTTAGTTCTCTCTATAAACTGCTTAAACAAAATTTAAATAGCTCCTTAAATAAGCACTTACTATTCCAAAATATAGTAAGGCATTCTTATTTTTGTTAGCAATAAGCTCATTTATGAAGCAGAGATTTGTATACATACCAGCTAAAGTATAATCCATATCAAATCCAAAGCACTTTATTTTTTCCATGGCTAGACTTCTATTCACAAAAACCCTGCCAAAAAAAGGTAAGAAAACCAATAGTAAGTATTGTTGATATGAAATCTGAGTAAATAGCATGAGGATCACATATGCTTCAAACTATCCAAGAGTTATTAAGGGAACATGCCAAGGGACGAAATGACTGAGACGCATTTATAGTGATCCTGAGCACATTCACTTTGGAGCAAATGCCACTCGACTCAGTAGACTCATCTGGGAATAACCTTATACTGTTCAGAACTGGGCTGTTAATCTTCTAAATGCAATAACATTGCTGGATGCTATCAGTGGTAGTTGTATTTAAAAGATTCTTAAGAGAGCGGATTTTTCATTTCATATAGGCGAACAGAATTAACACAAATTGTAGATACCAATCAAAAATAAAGAAAAAAGGATGAAATAATGTTCATTTTTTTTAACTCAAAAAAATAAAAATAAAAACAATAGACCAAGAAGGTGGCATACTGGCTGTGGATTGATGGTTTGCCTACTAATTATATAATTTTTTTAATATTAAAATTATTCTCAAAATCAAGCCTATCTCATTGTATCATTAAATAATCTATGATTTAAAAATGCCATAGAAATTACACTCTAATTCCACCAATATATAAATACAGAAAATGTAAAGGTTAAGTTGTCCCTGCAAGTTTTACCCCACTTTAGGGGGCAGTACTCATCTCCATTTCTTAAGCCAAAAAGTAAATGTTGTCCAAAGACATTTTGGTGGTCATTTGGCCAGCATGACATCACCCTGCAGTGCAAAGTATATGGCGAGACATGAATGCTATTACCTTCCTGTATGCTTATATGTAGTACCCATTCATCTACTTGCCATGATTTCGAACTGCTCGGTTGGCAGGAGCTGGGACAAGTGATGGGAACTCCTTCAGTCTTGCATACTCGGGTCTCATACTGCCGAGCTATGGACCTTTAACAGTCTAAGACTCAGCATCCTACCCACTGAGCCACCTTATAAATGTATAAAAATGTATGGTGTACATTAATTTAAATTAACCCCTGCGCTAGCAACTTTATATTCAAAAATATACAATTCTTTTTATACTATACAATTCAGTTCTGAAGAAGCTTCTTGGATGAGAAGCGAAATGTTTTCAAGGAAACAACCAAGTCCAGTTGCCTTTTGAAAAGAACCTTTGGGACAACCATGACCTGAATGATTGAGAATCTCCATAAACTTCCCTTTTCTCCTTTAACATTTCATCCTATAAGTAGCATACAAGTGCACTATTTATTACATCACAAACTTGATCATGCACTAACTTGAACAATCAGCTGTTTCAGTACCGCAGTACATTTCAGTTATTTCTGGTGCCTTTCAAAAATTAAAGGAAAATCCCTTGAAGACCTTGCATTATTTTTTTTTTAAATTGCCCTACTATTAAATATACCCGTGAAGAAAAGAAATTACTTATTTGGGAAATATGCTTAAGAAAAGTAATTGAATTTTTGCCTATTAAATAAAGTACTGAAAATATGTTATTTACATTCTATCATAAGACAAGGTTAACAAAATTTCAATTACATTTTTGAAAATTTCAGAGGAATTAGTCAATCCAAACTTGTGGAATAATGCTTTCTGCATTAATGAAATAAATACAGTAGTCAATTACAAACACACTAATAGGCTTTTTGTATCTTCAGGTACTACTTGGATTTTCTTTTTAGATTTATAAGATAAAGATTAAAGTAACATTTCACTTGTACAGGCTTATGAAGTATGCTAAATATTAAAAAATGAACAAATACATCCAAAGATGCTTTATTAACTGCTTAGAACCTCAGAGATTTCCCTTTCAAAATTCAAGTACTATCTAAATAGCTAGTCTTAACACAAGACAATTTACAAATACGCACATCTGAATTCCATTCCACCATTAACATTTAACGTCAAACTATCATATTTCTATACTAAAAAACTTACCTCATCATCTTATTTGGAGGTTCTTGTAAAATTTGTAGCTGTCAAATTCACGTTACCTATTTTTTAAAAGACTCCGTTCCCCCATATATAAGCAATTTTGCTTTTTTCTGGCTTGATTTCAGCATAGCACTATGCGTGAAACAAACTGGGAGATGCCACGTATTTGTTTAGACAGTGCTAGAGAACCCAGATCTGCAGCTAATTTAATAAATTACAGGATATCACTGTTCAATACATCTCCGTTTGGAATAGAATCTCTCTGGCTATATGTTTTACCCTTACTTTCAATGCAGCTCTTAAGAGTCACAATTTCCTGGCAAGCTGCCTGTTTTGGCAGTGAAGCATAGAAAGTACAACGGTGGAATGAGATAGGAGGGAGGGGAGAGACAGTTAAACATGACAAAAGTTACACAACAGCTACCATCAGAATATACGAAAGGCACTATAAACAGAAGAAATATTGCAAATTTATGATGTACCCTATGAGCCCTTGGGATATCAACAGAAAGGCAGCATTGCTAAATATTTCATGGTTTTGAGTAAACAAGATATGATTCATCTTTCTCATGCACGTTTAATGGTTTGATCTCTGGCAACAGGATCATCTCAAAAAGGCAGTGAGGCTTTTTTGTACCCTCTGAGGATTCTCCAGATATAAACATAGATATTAGTTTGTAAATTAAAATGAAATTAACCACAAAACGGTCCACAGAATTCAAGTTTTTTCTGACAGCTTAGGAATCTCATCTGAAAAAAAAGGAGAGACTGAAGAAATTGCATGTTCAAGTGCATAACCAGTTAACAGTCTGTTTGGACAGAACAGAATCAGGGGCGGTAAGCACAGCACCACAATTAAAGAATTGTTCTCTCTGTACTATAAGGGTTTGTTCCAACAAGATAATATGGAAAAAATAATATAGTTCCTTCTAGTTTTACAGAAACTTCTTCCTTCATACAGTTAACCTCAAAATGAGTATTTTTTTAACACTGTATAGGACAGCAAGGAAGAACCAGTTTGTGGTGATAGTTAAGACATCAGGCTACAAATTAGTAGACTATGAGTTATAATCCTGGCTTAAATATAAAGCCGACTAAGTGATTTGGGCCCAGGCACTTTCTCTCAATCCTAGGAAGCAACCAATCCTTCTGAGAACATTGCAAAGAAAATGTTTGTAGTCCTTAGGAATCAGAACTGATTTGAAGGCACATGTGTGTCTGCGCGTGCACATACATGCGCGCACACAGAAATATATACACACAGAAAGAAAGGAAAAAGACATGTTTAAAAATGTCCCTACATATTTTGCCTTTTTTCTACTCAAGTTCTCCAGACTCAGAGAATATAATCCTGCTCCATGTCAGATAGAAATGTTGGTGTCCCTGAATACTAAACAATTTTGTGGCATGGCAGCAGATAAGTACCGAACAGTTAAGCTGGTTCTTACATACAAAGGAGAATACTTGGAATACAGGAAAATATTTATATGCACTTTTTTAACGCAAGCAGATTCTATAGCAGACTGAACCTACTCTTTGTCCTTCCACAAAATGTTGAGTATGACAGGATTTGAAAGTAAGAGAAAATTAGAAAAAAATAGCTTTTAAGGATTAGAGGCAATGTCATTTAGAATGAGTGAATGAAGCTTGTATTAGGGATCTAAGAGATAAATATTCCTTGAAACCAGTTCCTGTTTCAATCTCTCCCACAAATGGATTGAAGGCATTGCTCAATACTGCCCAACCTGCATTGTATCCTCTAAGACAGTGTTTCCCAAACTTGACAATTTTAAGGCATGAGGACTTCAACTCCCAGAATTCCACAGCCAGCAACGCTGGCTGTGGAATTCTAGGAGTTGAAGTCCACATGCCTTAAAATTGTCAAGTTTGGGAAACACTGCTCTAAGACAGTGATGGCGAACCTTTTAGAGACCGAGTGCCCAAACTGCAACCCAAAACCCATTTATGCATCATCAAGTGCCAGGTAGGTGTGGCCCATTGGGTGGGTGTGGCCCATTGGGTGGGCGAAGCTGCAGTGGTAACGGCAGACCAGGTGGGACTAAAAAGTTCAATCAATCAATTCCAACTTTGCAAGATCTTTTTTTTCCCCACGAGAAGTTGAAATTGACTGATTGAAACTTTTTTTTTTTGCACACGGCGGCGGATTTTCGCCACCACTGCTCTAAGATTCAGGTTTAGATAAACATTTTCTTAGATAAATAGCTTTGATCCTTAGAAGTCAGGACACTTAGATTACAATAGTGTTTAATTCAGGGCTCTGACTGGAAGGGTATTCATATATATTGTCTCATGGAAACAATACAATTTACCAATTATTTATCCTCCAGCCCACAAATTAGATAATGCCAACTGAGTTGGATAATAAAAGTAATATTTGATTCTGATGGAAATGCTTACTTTTCTATGCTATTTCTATTAATTACTAAATAATGAAGAATAATTGTAAGGGAATTCCAGTAATGGTGCAGAGTCACTTGGTAAAGAGATGGGCAGCCTAGAAATTTAATCAAACAACCAATAATACAATATACATATGTGGGCATTTATGAGGGCGTATAAAAATATACCTAATCTTTTTCTGGTAATATCAGTTCACTTTGTATTAAATTTTAGCATCCAGGACTGTACTGTACAGGTGTCATCAAAATGAGAAATGACAAAAGTATTTAAAAAAAGAAAATTGTAACACACACACACAATTCTGAATTCTGCAAAAAAGCATTCAAGAGAGCCAAAGTCATAAAAGAACTCCATAGAACCTTTATAAAAGTTCATAGGTTAATCCCACCCATTCCCTAGGCAAACTCAGAAGTTGGTGATGCTGAATGAGGTGGATGATTGTTGCTTTTATAATTTTTTAATGGCTGCTATGTGTATACGTTTTTATCATTTTTAATATTGTTACCACCCTAGAATTGTGTATCTGAGATGGGCAGCCACCTAAATCTACTAAATAAAATGAAATAAAAACTTGTATATTTAATTGGAAATCTTTATTAGAAGGATTGCTAACATGAAAATTACGGATATAAACTCCTCAAGCAAAATCA